CCAACCAATTTTCCATTTTTTGGTTTCCAGGCTGCTCCTTAGCTGTCTCTTCCAGACAATTCCAAGATTCCTTGGATTGTTTTATCCATAATTACAAATCAATGCTTGTTGTTATTAAGGCAGACTTTTAAGACATATAGTTACATTTACAAATAACACTGAAATTTTGTGAGTATTCACATATGTGCAAACATATTGAGGAAGATGCAGGTGCTTTTAGTGCTCTCCTCCCTTATTTCTTTTCTAGAGGCTGCTTAATATTTTGACATTTCTATTCACTAATTAAAATTTCTGGCAAAGTAGAACCTCCCCAGCTGGTTTTCACTAGCTCCATTTCACGGGTTTATAATCCTGTACCAGCAAATACATCCGACCATGCACCATATGAATACTTACATGCAAGAACGACAACGGACAGATTTTTCCCAGTGCAATGGACACATGTGAATGGTGGGACAGTTTGAAAATCTTTTTGAGAAGCTACATCTTTAACCATCAAAACTACTTTCTATAGAGGAGTGCACTCCTCTAGATGGCACTCGAAGCTATGTTTTCACTGCTTTTTGGGGGGATAGATACTGCAGGGATAAGAAAACTTCTTTCTCCTCTGCTTGTGAGCTCAAACCTGGCAGTGCTGGATAAATCGTTCAGTGGGACAGAATTTCTGGGCAAGCTGGGAGACTTGTCTTCTGGTAATATAAGACTCGTGTGGGGTAAGGTTCAGCTTATAAAGGAAAAATGATGCTTATGAGAGTGCTCTTTTATTTTCTTTACTGGCATCACCTGTGTTGTTTTTCCTCCACATATGAAGGAGGGGTTTATGGTTAAGACAATGAACTTGAGTTTATTTCCCTGGCTTCTTGTGAGACTTTTTAGGCCCCTTCGTAGCTTGGTTCTCATTTACTTGTTCTCTATTACAAAGGTAGAATATGGTGTAAATTATAACCAAGCTTTGAGTCTCTTGGTACTTTTCCATTCGTGAAACAGGGTTAGTAACAGTCCTTATCCACCCACCTGATACTTGTCTCTTTCATTTAGATTGTGATTTCTTCAAGTTAAGGACTGTACCAAATGTAAGCTGGGGCCTCCAGCAGTGTTCGTTAGCATCTATTTATTATCCTTGGATGGATTTTCTAGTTCGGCTGCAGGCAGTTCAGATTTTTTCTCAGTATTGGCTTATTCATGTCTAGAAAAATTGCTGCTTCAGGTCTTGAGCATGGATACTCTCCTCTGATCAGCTCATCTCAGAACTTGTGTTACAATGGAGTACAACTTAATTGAACCAGCCCTGCCTCACCAGAGCGGATTTCATGCAGAGCCGCTGCACTGCTCTCCCAGCAGTCTCATTTCTGAGCGTGCGTATTTTGGTGCAGTGCCTTGTAGCTACAGCACTGCTGACAGCAATGAAGATGACAGCAAGACGGAACCTAGCTGGCTCCACAGGTTTATGAGTTCTGACAGGACTACAAAGTCACCTGGGTTCACACATTAGACATCAGTTTGTTCCGAAAGCTTTAGTATTATCTGTTTTCATTTTTTTCCCCCATTACCTGGCATTTTCCTTTCCCAGTTGTTCCAGATAAATCATACCTTTGTTGCTTTCATCCAGGTACTGAGAAAACTTTTCAGCTACCATTTATGCTATATCAATGTACAGTTAATTTTTTGACAGTCATAAATATCTCCATAATCCCTGGAAGATAGCTCTTCTGTCATGGACACTGACTCATGGACCTCTGCTCTCTGCAGCTTCCTGAGGAGGGGAAGTGGAGAGGGAGGTGCTGATCTCTTCTCCCCGGTATCCAGTGATAGGATACGACAGAATGGTTCAAAGCTGCACCAGGGGAGGTTCAGACTTGACACTAGGAAACATTTCCTTACCAAGAGGGTGGTCAAACACTGGGACAGGCTTCCTCGAGAGGTGGTTGATGCCCCAAGCCTGTCAGTGTTTAAGAGGCATTTGGACAATGCCCTTAATAACATGCTTTAACTTTTGGTCAGTCCTGAAGTGGTCAGGCAGTTGGACTAGATGAT